GAGAATGCTATGTACTAGTTCACGAAATTCTTAAATTATCTTATTTTTTAGTTTACTGTCAACCATTTATGAGGTTAATAAAATTTTGTCGTATACGCCAAATGTGATAACATTTTTTATAAATTACCGATACTTTACACTAATCAGCCTAATCGTGAGTCTCGCCCTAAAAAAAAATTCGCCAGATATGTTTTCACCCACCCGTAGTGAATACACGGAAACGAAAAGTGAAAGATGGCCCGGTTCGAGAAAATGAAACTCATGATAAGGCTGAATATGTCGGAAACTAAAGCAGATATTTAAAAATACAGATGACGCTATTTGAAGGATCTTGATTAGTTTAGTACGACCGCATTACTAACGTAATTTGTACCAAATGATTTTAGTCATTACTCGGAAACTAAAGAAGATATCCAAAAAACTGTTAAAAAAAGCGAAATATCTGATTTTAAAATATATAACTGCATCTTTAACTACAAACTGTCAAAATAACGCTTACGGAAATTTTCCATCCAAGCGACGATATTTGAATGTTACTGGCCTGTATGTAAAATTTCGGGAAAATGTTAAGAAGTATATTCATATGCTGAAAAGATATTTTCGCAGACTCACCATTTATTTAAAGTATATCATCAACCTTATTTCCAATTCTATGAATAAATCGCTCCCATAACTTAATTTGTGCATTCAATATATTTCACAATTAACTTAAATACTAAATTACAAATATTTGTTCAACGACCTCGACACAGTAAAATAAAAAAAAAAAGGATTTATTGGAGAAATAATTATTCTTAATACATTTATATTTCAGCGAAACCTGAGATGTTCAATCGCAGTGCAATAGTTTTCTATCCATTTTTCCAGTGCTAAAATAATTTCCACCACATAAAATTGCTGCACAACACCCTTTTTGACGAAAAAGCGTTGCTTGCAACACTAATCCTTTATGGGGACCAAATTTGGTGGAAAAGTTGCTAAGTTTGTTTACTGGATATACTGAGGCAAAATCGCCTCAAAACTTTGCTGGTGTTGCCAGACATTTCTTCTTTGCGTGCATTGTAATTATTTAACTTAATTACCAAATCCTAATATTTCGTCGGCTGGGTAAAAGATTGTAGTAGGCGCCATTTTGACGATTTTTAGTTCTAGATGCAACTATATATTTTGAAATAAGGCCTTTCGATTGGTGTTATCAGTTTTTAGATATCTCCTATAGTTTCCGAGATATTGACTACAATTTTTTCGATAATTTATTAAAAAATTAGTTAGTGATGCAGCAATAGCTCTGATCCAGTACTCCATGAACTTACAGGATTTTACACGAAATTGCAGGAAGTTGCAGAAAAAATGTTCCCGTACTCCAAAATCCTGTAAATGAGAGCGTCTTTTGGAGAGTTGTGTAGAGAATGAAGTTGCAAGATTTTACCCGAACTTTTTCTTCTGGTAAAATCATGAAAAGTGTCAAGCAATCACTGGTTGACGTTTTTACAGGAAAAATGGTTTTTTGTTCCCGTACTTTTTGTTGTTACTCACTTTTTACTCTCACTTCAGAGAGTAATTTTGCTGTTTGAGTTTTACAGGATTTTTCACGAAAAGTATTGGATCAGAGCTAATATTAAACTAATCAATATGTTAAAAATGGCGTTCTCCTTTTTGGATATCTCCTTTAGTTTCCGAGATATTGAGTAAAAGGTGTCGTTAATTTTGCAGACATTTTGATCACATTTTGTCTTATTTCATATAAAGTGGCTACCAAATTGTGAACAAATGACGCTTACGACATAATTTTACTAAAGAAAATCCTTCATACACTCAAAACTAATTAACAATACACATTAAAAATTTAATAATTTTGTGAACTAGTAACATTTTCAGAGACTTTGGAGAAAATCTATCTTCGCGTTTTTGAGAATTTGCATTCCAAACTTCAATCACGATTTCCCACAACCTGCCGAAATTAACATACGACAATCTGTTACCCAGGCGACGATTTGTTATTCCTTTTCCTTGATTTGTTTCTTTTTTTCGCAGTTTGCTGCACCAGCCTTAATTTCAAAGCAATGGAGTACACTAAAACGTTTGCTCCAGCAGCCTTAATTGCAAAGCATGGAGTGTACTAAATCGTTCACTATTCTCCAATAGATTAGATGAAAAATGCAATATTTTCGCATTGATCAGAATTAAAGCACGTTTTTCGCTGTAAAGTGAACTGTTTTGACAGTTTCAATTCGTTCTACTCTTGTCTCTATTCTTTGTTTACTTGTGGTACTCAAATGTCAACGGCCAGGACGGCGCAATCTTAGGTTCATTCCTTATCTTTTTGGACTAAAATCTGAAGTGTCAAAATGCCAGAGCGTAAGCAAAATGCGCTCACTAAAAGAGAATAACAGGAAATGTAAAGGAACGCAAAAAACCAAATTTTTAGTCCAAAGAATGGCAACAACAAAACTAACTTCAAATAAGAATGGAAATGTATGTACAAAACACATTCACACAAGCACAAGCACAATAAACACTTACTATATCAATATATCAATTATTTTTTGCCTCCTTCCAATTTCAATTCACTTTTTTTACATTTTAGATTATTCTCACTTTTTGCGTATTTTTTAATTTCCGTTAATTTAAATTCAATTGAGTTTGACACTTTTCAGGATTTTGCCAGAAAAAATTCTTCTGACTAAATCTGACTACTTCGGACTGAAGAGAGTCACTCTCACTGAGTGTTGCTCTCCCATTTTTGCTGTCATTTTCGAGTTAAGGAACGCTTTTTGGACTAAATCTGACTACTTCGGACTTTTTCGGGGAGATAAGGAACGGAACTCTTGTATTCTATCATTTTTGAAATGAAACGAGCAACACCAAAAGGGAATGTGAAAAATCGCGTCGACAAAAGTTTCCGTGTATAAACTCTCTAAGGGCCCTGTCACAAATTAATAACCATGAACCGCAAAGATGCGATTGTATGTTGTGGTGGAGGGGGAGGGGAATGTTCTCTTGCGAGTGTCGTGATTGTTCCTTCGGCACATCTGGTCACCCTAATCATTACAGCATGGCGGCAGGTGAGATAAATACATAAAGTGAATAGTTGCGTTCCAGCTTCGTGTAAAAACCTGTAAAACTGTCAAATAACAAAATTACTCTCTTGAAAAAGAGGAGCAAGAGCGAAAAAATAAAAGTCACCTGGAACGCGAAAAATCTCTTTTCCTGTAACTACTTCCATTTTTTTTTTAATGTTAGGCGCCATTGAGACGATCAAATATCTTTATCAACCGTCTCGCGTTTTGCTTGACAAAAAACAAGCACACTTGCCTTCTGATCGTCGTGGTGAGCAAGTGCGCGGACAAGAAAAAGAAATTGTTTGTTGAATTAACGCGTTTATTTGAACGTTTGCGGGCAAGACACGAGCCAATCTCGCACATATGCAATGCTTGACGTATTTATTTGATTGTCTCCGTGGCGCTTAATTTTCTTTGCTATCTGTTTTTGTTTACAAACGCAACCCTGCCTATCGTTTGACACTTTTCATGAACTTGCAGGAAGAAAAACTTCGGACTAACAGGCTAACCTAATATTCGCGGCTTGCGTTTTGGTACGCATGCCGTCGAATTTGTTTTTTTGCGTCACCCGAAATTGACTTGCATGCGTTTGCATTTGATTTCATTGAGCGAAACGTCAAATCAAAATGTCACGCAGAACAAAAATTGGAAATTGAGTTAGCTTCATACGCACGCCGTTCAATTTCGGTTGATCTCTCCAAAAACAGTAAAGTCGGAATTGTAATGCTATCACCAGTTCTACGAAAAGTTGTTTTTTTCCCATATAAAATACATGAAGAACTTTGGGCGCTTTGAGCGACCTCTAAATATTTTATGATTTCAAAATAAAACCAGTAAGAAAGTCTAAGTTCGGGCGGAGCCGAACTTTAAATACCCGGCGCAAGTATTAAATATATGTTTTTTCACCCTTCCGAAACCTTCCGCTAGATGGTAAGCCGAGGTGTATCAATTTTGAGTAAATTAGCGTCCTTCAATTTCGAAATATTAAAGTTTCAAGCATTTCTTAAATTTACCGTTATATGAGAATCGGCCGTTATTTTAGTCCGATTTCAATAATTTTCAACGTTTTGCTTACACGTGGCAAGTACAATAACCATACCGAGTTTGGTACAAATTGGTAGAACGGTTACCGATATACTTATATGCGATCATAAGTGGGCGGTGCCACGCCCATTTTCCAAAATTTTACCATAAACGTATTTCTTGGTAAAGAATTGTTGCAAGCATCAATTTTGAATAAATTAGCTTCAAGATTTAATGATTTATCGAAGATTTTGTATTTCTCTAAATTACCGTTATATGGGATGTGGGCGTGGTTATTGTCCGATTTTAAAAAGGTTCGGCGGTTTTTTATGCTGTACCAAGGCCAACAACTGTGCCAAGTTTGGAAGAAATTGGTGCAGCGGTTACCAAGATATACACATGTAACCATAAGTGGGCGTGGCTACGCCCATTTTCCAAAAATTTATAATATTCTTATTTTTCGTCTAAAAATTATTGTAAATATCAATTTTGAGTGAATTATCTTCACTAGTTACTAAAATATCGCAGCTTTCGTATTTCTGGAAATGACCGTTATATGGGAAGTGGGCGTGGTTAAAGTCCGATTTCGCCCATTTTCAATACCAACCTACCTTGGATTAAGGGAAACCTACATACCAAATTTCGTTGAGATATCTCAATTTTTGCTCGAGTTATCGTGTACACGGACAGACGGACGGACAGACAGACATGGCTTAATCGATTTCTTTTTTCATCCTGATCATTTATGTATACATTTGTCTATATCTATCTCGATTCGTTTTGGCTGTTACAAACAACCGTTATGTGAACAAAATTAATATACCCTTGTGCACAAGTGCGCTCGGGTATAAAAAATATACATATATATGTTTTCGGTATAGAACAATCCTAGGGGGTGAGAGCATAAAAATTCCGACTTTACTTTTCACATGCATTTTTGGACCACCCTAATGTACATACATTCAATAAACTTTTTTTTTTATTTCAATGCAGTGTTTCGTTGAAAGGCAGAAGATTTAAAAGCCCTGAAGACATATCAGGGGGTTGCAACTGACGGCAAGCCTGTGCATCAGATGGTTGAGACACGGGTTCAATAGAAAGCTGTGACGCTGGTTCATCAGAATGTTGGATATCAAGTTCATTACATTGTTGATTTATTGCTTCGGCGGAATGATTTGCCATATGTTTACGCATGTTTCGACTTGATCTAAACTTCTTAGCACAAATCGAACAAGTATATAGGTGTACACCAGCGTGTCTTGCTTCGTGTTCCTACAGACATTTTGGAATAAGCGTCTTATTACTATTTAATACATACATTTAAAATAGATATTACCCTTAATGCGATTGGCAGTTTGAACTCCTTGCTACAAACAGGGCATTTAAATTTTCGATCCGAATGATGGTAACGTATATGCGCCCCAAGGGAATGACGCGAATATTTTATAGCGCCACATTTGGAGCACGGATATTGTTTGTCGGGAGGCTCTTGACCATGTGCAAGCACATGTTTTTTAAGAGTATACGCGTTTTTTAGCCACTTGTTGCAGATATGACACTGCGCTCGAGTACGCGGCTCTGCACAATGTATGGCATCCACGTGACGCAAAAGATTGTGGGCAGCTTTAAAACATTTTCCACATATTTCGCACACAGACTCATATTCATTTAAATGGATGTTCTTTTCATGCTTTTTCAAAACACCAGCGCTGACGAACCTTTATTAAGTATAGAAATTATTGAAATAAAATTCAATCAACTGTACCAGTTCAATTTATACTTTACCCTTTGTTGCATGTTTTACAGATGAAATCACGTGTGGTTGTGTGCTTCGACTTCATATGATAGTCTAGTATATATTGTTTAACGAATTTTCGGGGACACAATTTACAAAAGAAATGCAAATCTCTCGAGTCAGGATGTTTTGAATCCATGTGATTCTGGTAAGTATTTCGGCTTGCCAGTTTTTTATTACAAATATGACATCTACACAAAAATTAATGTGTATGTAAATACATATTTTATAAAGAGCAAAGATTCAATAATAATTAAATAGAATCATGATTAAAAGCGAAATTCAATATCTTTGGTCATAAGCAATAACCGTCAGAGTCGAAAAACATTTTAAACATTTAGCTTGTAATGGTAACCTTATGGGGAAACCAAAATATGTTCGCCTATAACTTTTTAAATAGCCTAGCTAACGAGATGGGGATTTCACATACACATGGAGAAGTGATTGCAGAATACGATAGTATATACATATGTATAACTCAATTCTTTCTTAAGTTGTTGTTGTAGCGGCTACTAAGCCCCGCTAGGGTCGGTTCATCCGTCAACGTTTTAGTCCGTTTCAGCTAAGGGGAGGCACAGGAAGTGCGCGACTTCGACAGGGTCTGTCCATAAGGACAGGGGCGTCAGCTGGATGGGGTTCTCGGGGCATGTGAACAGGTGCCGAGAGTCATGTAGAACGGCATTCACATGGCGGGAGTCTACATAACCTGAGTCTTTCTTAAGTCGACTTAGGCGGTTATTGCTAATGACCAAAGATATGTTGATCCACTTCAATCGTTTTTGAAAGAATTGAGCTACATGTGTTAATTTTTCATAAATAGCTGAAGGCAAGACATATTTAATAAGGTAGAAGTGACAACTAGTTCGAGTTCTCTTGTAGCTAGTTATAATCGCTTAGTTTTAACAGATAATTAACACAAATTATCACGAATTTCCGCTGGAAAGCTTTTCTTAACCCAAAAAACTAGCAGCTCTCTCTCGTTCTTACGCTGTCATTTTTTTGACTCTCCTACTAATTTTTGCTAGTCACGTCAAGTCTTGAAAGCAATTTTTTCGCATTCTCTTTTGTGTTTTCTATTTGCTTCCACACGCGTCAACTTTAATTGAATTCAAGTCCTTGGTTCTTAAATGGGAAGCAACGAAAAGATCAAAAGAGACCAGAAAACTTGAAACGAATTGACGGTACGGAGGTATCTGTACTCTTCCCCTCTCTTCCCACCTCCTTCGCCAATGAACGAGCAGACTTGAAAGCAAGACTTGACGTGTCTGAAAGTGGACCTAGTAAAATTTTTACTAGCAGAAACTAGCAGCTGTCAAAATGGATGAACAAAAACTCGCGCCAAATATTAGGTTTGTTCGTCGAGCAAAAAATTTGTACGAATTTGTACAAATTATCACGATTTTTGCCCAAATCGCGTTCGTGCAGACCAAAAAAATATCCAACACTCAAAAATTGTGAGAGCAAAGTGACAGTTCTCTTGGAGAGAAATTGCAAATTCCTGCTGGAAAAATTTTGCCAGCAAGAATTTGCAAACATGAAAAACATGTGATTGTGGCACATGGTTGCATTTTTGTCCACGATAATTTGAATACATAAGTTCGTTAAATTTATAAATACGAGCGATTTTTTTATGAATACGACAATTTGAATAAATAAGCTAGTTAAATTTAAAAATTTATAAATACGAGCGTTTTTTTTATGAAAAAGGAAGTAAATACTCGTTGATATAATTAATTTACAGCTTTATTCTGTATCATGAACGATAGGCAACACGAACGATTCGTCTGCAGAGGAATGCGTTAAAAATTAGTCCGGCGGCATCATTCTAGCCGGTTTAAACGCAACCGAGACCATTGCAACGTAATATATGAAAAGGAAGACGAAGACGACCGATAGAGTAATAAATCGCAATCAGAGATGCTGTTATTTGCAGACGAATCGTTCTTGTTGCCTATCGTTCGTGATGCAGAATAAGGCTGTTAGTTAATTCCAATGATTTTAACTTAACTCGGCTGAAAAAAATTTTATTCGCAATCGAAATGCAATTGCAACCAGAGTCGATTTAATAAAAACCCAACAGCTAGTACGATAAAGAAATTGAAATGTATGTTAAAGAAAGTCAGAACAAGAAATATAGATGTATATCCTGTCTTTGTCCATCTGAAAAATTTTTAAAAATTCTATAAAAATTTATTGTTTGAAATGCAACCGTGGACACCAGCTGGCAGGTTAACTTGAAAATTCCTGCAAATTTGCGTTCGTGCAGAAATTTCCAAGTTTCTCAACATGAGAGAGAATTTCTTCTTACTCTCTGATATTTTGAGTGTTGGATAATTCTTGCTGGATTTTCGACGAACAAACCTATTTTCAATAGTCAATTACATCGATCAACTGTTTACTTACTAGTTTCTGCTAGTATTGCGTTTCTTCAAGAATGATAGAATACAAGATTGCGCCAATGAGAGAGGATTTTTGAGCGTAATTTTTGCGTGACGTCATCTTGGTGCAATTGCGAGAGAGAAATGCCAAATCGCATATAAAAATATGTAAACAATGCAGAAAATGTGTTAATTTTAATATTACATGGCCCAATTTTGCAGGAATCAATAAATAAACAGACTGATTAATTAGGAGCACGTAGCAATAATTTTGGACATCTACCCCTTTAGGTAAGTACGATTTTTAGTACATGAAAAAATGGATGTGTTAACAGTGTTTGCAATTTCATGTAGACCAAAAGGAAGGTGTGCAGCAAAGTGAATTTTTGGACTCGACATTGTAAAAAGCCATGCAGAGTGCATATTTATATTTGTGGACGGTAGCCAACCACCATAAACTCCACAGCTGTTGACTCCACAGTTTTTATTTGATAACTTTTGTACCATTTCCGAGAGGATGAATGAGTGTGGCTTCTTTGTTAACAAATATTTTATGCAATTAAAACATAATTTAAGCTGAACTTTAAAATTTATAATAATTTGGGCATTGTTTTGTATTAGGTACGTAAGATGCCGCTGGAATTAGCGCCTGGCGACCTTATCCACTGGTGCATTACGTCATACCAGCACTAAAAAGAATCAGGTACTAATAAAAATAAGTAGGTAGTGAAGTTCATGTATCTATTTACTGTAGAAACTGCTTTTATATGTATGCCATTACCAGAAAACTAAACCAGCGACTGTCTACTTTCACCATGGAAATATACCTACTACAATTCACCAAGGAAAGGCCAACATAGTTCCATGTAGAAGCTCATAGCTCACACACATAGCACAAAGTTCGATTTGGTGTTTAATGTATCTCCTCGCCGGCACAACTGCTTCCACTTTTTCGCCAGATTTGCGTTCTTAGGAAAC